CACACACACAGACACACACACACACACACACTCACACACACACACACACACAGAGACACACACACACACACACTCACACAGAGACACACACACTCACACAGAGACACACACACACATACACACACACACACTCACACAGACACTCACTCACACACGATATGTAATTAAACATAAACTGCCTTGTGATTTATTCAGTGATACTGAGGCTGATGGTGCAATGATACGGATACTGATGGTCCATGTCAAAGCATCACATCAGAGTCCTCAGAGACGAGCTGTTTAACACTTCTGCAACATCAGACTCAAAGCCACAAACCTCACAGTTACTCTCATGATGAAACACACTCAACACACACACACATGCTGTCAGCCGTTTCCACTCAGGCTCTTCTCAAACCCGGACTATGCATTGTCTGTGTCCAGTCTAAAACCAGTCTTAAACCAGTCTATGGTGGTTTTCTGGTCTCAGCTGGTCTTTAGAGAGATTGTGGGACCGGAAAACCACCTTGAGCTGGTTTAAGCAGCTTTTTTAACAGCTACAAATAGGAGACAGGAAATGATGTAGAGAAGGAGATGGGAAGACAGGAAATGACCAAAGCTGGTCAGCTCAGGTTATTCACACTTCATTCTGACAATATTAGAGTTTTATATTATTATTACAGTGAATACTTGCAGTGAGAGAGCCTGCATTCACACACAGTATTTATAACACTACATATCAGAGCAATACAAGATTAAACACAGACACACACACACACGAGACAGATCAGTGCTGCTCACATTACAGCAGGACAGAGACATGTTAAACATTAAACAGAGCCATCAGTGAGTCCAGCGGCCCTGACAAACCTTTGCTTCCTTCTCCAGCGTTAAATCAGCAGAATTCATATTATATTTTTGCCTAATATTTTTTATTAAACGTCAAAAGAGTTAAGTCATGTACAGTTATCAATCATTTCTACTGTGTGTTATATATTATTTTAAATTATTTAAATGCATAAAAATGCATATAATTTTGTTAATAAATTACAATTATTATTTTAACATTATAAATCCTGTTTTTTATAAATAGTATCTTTTTTTAAATAAATATTTTTATTCAGAAAGGATGCATTAAAATGATCAAAAGTGACAGTAAAAGTTTTCTATTTCAAATAACTGTTGTTCTTTTAACCTTCTGTTCATCAAAGAATCCTAAAAATTAAAATCTATCACAGTTTCCACAAATATATTCGGCAGCACAACTGTTTCCAACATTGATAATAATCAGAAATGTTTCTTGAGCAGCAAATCAGCATATTAGAATGATTTCTGAAGATCATGTGACACTGAAGACTGGAGTAATGATGCTGAAAATTCAGCTTTGATCACAGAAATAAATTACAGTTTAACAGATATTCACATAGAAAACAGCTATTTCAAATTCTAATAATATTTCACATTTTTACTGTACTTTTGATCAAATAAATGCAGCCTTGGTGAGCATATGAACCGCTATATTGGTTTTCCCTTATAACAAAATAATTAAACTACTATAATAACATAAATAAATGACAAAAAATAATTTCTACAACAATGCATCCCTAAATACTCAATGCCATTTAAAATATTTTTTTTTTTTCATATTTTAGATGACTTGATGCTGGAAAAGGAAACGTTTTATTTCTGTGATGGCGATTCTGAAAAGAAAAGCGAGACAAACGTGTGAGATCGGCGTATTTCTCCGCGAGCAGCTCTATTCGGTTAGCATCACACACGAGCCGTCTCTTCGCTCCAAATCCAATCATCACATGTAAGCGAGCCGAGCCGAGCGCAAACCTGCTAACACACAGCGAGAGAGCATGCGCACAGATCCTTACCTTCTACAGCGGGAGGAAAACAAACCAAGAGAGGAGAAACAGAGCACACATTTGAACAAGAACGAGTGAAAAGATCCACTTAGAGACAAGAGAAATAAAGAAAGAAAGAAAAACACAGAAAATTCACAACCACAAGCCTAGCTCTCACAAAACCCACATCTGAAAGCATTAACCTTCAACCTCAAACACTCACTTCCCCAAAACACATCAGCAAATCTCACAATATTTCATCTCACAAAATCTCATCCGTATTTCATGTTTAAAGAAAATGAAGCCTATTTTAGAGCCGTTAAGATTTTTTGCATTGTGATATTATTTATATTTTATATATATTTATTATATTTATAAATAGTCACTTTACTGTAAATCCATTACATAAAAATTATTATATATTATAATTACAAAGAAACTCAAAACTAAAATGTCCAGACACATTAAGATAATAAAAATACTTAAAAAATTTTTTTTTTTTACACATAACAGTACTGAAGATTTGAGGAAAATATGCTTAATTTTCATTGCAATAATTGTCACAATGCATAAAATCATGTTGTGTAAGCAAAAAAAAAAAAAAAAAAAAATTTTTAATTTAAATAAATTCACATTACTGTAAAGCTATTAAATAAAAATGATTTTACATCATAATAAAAAAAAAAAAAACTCAAAACTAAAATGTCTCATAAAAATGTTTTTCTTTTTTCCATTGTCACAATGCATAAAATCTTGATAGTCCTAAAGCATACTTCTGTTTCTTTAAGAAAATCAGGTTTTTTTGGGGTAGATTGTTTTCGTGAGACTGGTTCATACCGATATGCTGATATTTCCATGCATGCAATAATGCATCAGCCAGCAGCTCCTACAGCACATTCATTCCCAAAACTGTTAAACAGCATCGTTTTCACTCTTTCCAGAACAAGTGAGCAAAAAGCAACAAACTTTGAGGCCAAAAACTTCATTTCCAATGTATTTTTAGTCTAAAAGTGATCTGGATGGACTTCTAGATGGACTTGTTATTATTTGCACATGCCGTTTCCAGCCTAAATCTCAGGATTTACTTCAAATCTATACTGCAAAATCCAGCCAGAGAACCTGAAGCCAGCTCAACACACACACACACACACACACCTGTATTTGCAAACACCAAACAGAGTAGTTCACATTACACACTTCACCCTTCAAATCTAGACTTAAAAATACTTTTGTAATATATTTTCATGCTCAAACCAACACTAGATTGCATATGCATGCATGTGTGATATATAATGTGTTATAAACATCATAAAGCCACAGATCCGTGCATGCGTGAGAGCAGACAGTAAACTGCGCGGTGTGTTTGTGAGGCGGGTTTATCCTGCATGCACATGAAGACACCGTGACCTTTGCCCTCTCACACACCTTACTGGCCCAGGCGTCCTCGTCCCAGGACGTGAGCTGCAGCACGCGGATGATTTCATTGATTTCTGCGCTCATCTTCTCCACGGTGAAGTTCCTGTTCTTCAGGGCCTCCTCCACACCTTTACCCTGAGACGTCCTGGTCGTTACGAAGATCTTGATGCCTGCGTGAGACAACAACAGATGCGTTCTGCTCACCAAGGCTGCATTTATTTGATCAAAAATACAGTAAAAATTGTGAAATATTATAATAATTTCAAACAGCTGTTTTCTATGTGAATATCTGTTAAACTGTAATTTATTCCTGTGTTCAAAGCTGAATTTTCAGCATCATTACTCCAGTCTTCAGTAATCAGAAATCATTCTAATATGCTGATTTGCTGCTCAAGAAACATTTCTGATTATTATCAATGTTGAAAACAGTTGTGCTGCCCAATATTTTTGTGGAAATTCTTCATTCTTTGATGCTTAGAAAGTTCAAAAGAACAGCATTTATATATGGAATAGAAATCTTTCGTAACATTATAAATGTCTCTTCTGTCACTTCTGATCAATTGAATGCGTCCTTGCTGAATAAAAGTATTAGTTTCTCTAGATCTGCGAGGTCAGAGGTCGGATCAGACCTGAGATGAGAACGGGCAGCAGCTCCTTGACGGTGTTCATGGAGTTAACCAGCATGACTCTGTGCTCCTGATGAGTTAATTCCTGCTGCCGCTCGTCAATCATCTTGGCCATCTTCGTCATGCCTGTGGAAGCAAATACAGTCAGACGTGTGACGCTTTTACTGATTGACCAGTTTAGTCTAAAAGTTGCATACTAACCAATAGCACCATTCAAGATCACTTAATAAAGCCAGAAAATTAATGTGAACACAAGACAAATCAGAAACAGAATGAGAGATGATGAGCAAATCTAGTGAAATGAATAAAAGCAGCATAACACACACACACAAAAAAAAAAAATCTGATGCAACATGGTGACAAAGCATTAGGCGATAACTCAGGATGTTCAAAAGAACAGCATTTATTTGGAATAGAAATCTTTTGTAACATTATACATGCCTTTACTGCCACTTTTCATCAATTTAATGCATCCCTGGTGAACAAAACTATTAATTTCTTTAAAAAAAAAACTTACTGAACCCTCGAACAGTAGTGTAGTGTATTAATATTTATATTTACTAGAAATATTTTAATGTAAATATTTTAAATATGATTTACTATTTTTATTTTTATTTACTAAAAGGAAAAATACAACAATCTGGAAAGTATAACTACAACGCATTTCCCAAAGCCTGAACGTAAATGTAAAACCAAATACAGATTAAAAACAGATTATGAGCAAATGGTGTGAAATGAATAAAATTACGTAAGGAAGCATCATAATTATAATCATAGAAGCAAAACCAACTAAATAAATAAATAAGTAAAGAAATCAGATGCAACACAAAGCATTAAGCACTAACTCAGAGGATTATTTGATAAATAAATTATTTGATTAATTCAAAAGAACAGCATTGATCTGAAATAGTAATCTTTTTCAACATTTTAAATGTTTTAAAATTGAATGCATCCTTGCTGAATAAAAGTATTAATAAAAAAAAAACACATTTTAACAGCATCATATTTATATTTCCTAGAAATATTTAAATAATTAAATAATAAATAATTGTAACTATATAAATAAATAATTGTAAATATAAATAATTGTAATTATTATTTGCATTTAAAAAAAATTTTTTCTTTACTAAAAGTTAAAATGCAACAATCTGGAAAGTTTACAGCTATAATGCACTTCACAAAGCCAAAAAACAAAACAAATCAGAAACAAATTACATACATAATATAAAAATAATTAGAGACAATTATAGAAGTGAAATCAAAAAAATAAATAAATAAATAAAATCGAGAAAAAAAACAAACAAAAAAACAACAACATGCATTAGGGCGATAACTCAACTCATCCAAATTCATGCATGTTTGTCCTAATCAGCCACATCATCAAGACTTGTATTACATCACAGTGTGAAGCCCCGCCCACAGTCAAATCTTACTGGTCCAAATCCTGCTCCACATAACTACACATAAAGCATGCACTTTAACATTAAATACCTGGTCCCAGGTTCTTGGTGTAAGTGATCAGGTCCTCCATGGACTCCACCACCTCAGCCACGGTCAGATACTCCAGAATCCCTTTACACACACGGATGATCTTACGAACCTGAGATCAGGGAAAAGAGCAAGTATTGTGTTCAGTACCGATGCACAAGCTCAGACCCAAAGGATTGAACACATTAAACGGTTTTAAAAGCATCGCACCTCGGCCTCATCGAATGTCAGAAGCAGGTCGGAGGTTCCGGACAGGATCCCGCGGGACCCGTCGATCAGATAATCTCTGGCTTGGACAGAATACGGGTCGGCCTTCAGCATCTGAGCCGCCTGAACCAGTTTAGTGCACGCGTTCTCAACCCTACAGAGAACAAGACCAAACAGAGCGAGAGAGAGAGTTAGTTACTGCCTTTCTTATGCTTACACATTCATCTGACTGTATAGTGACGCTATAAACACTCAGTATCTTAGGAGTAACTTAGAGGTATCTTCTGCTCTCCAAGGGTGCATTTATTTGATCAAAAATACAGTAAAAACTGTAATAATGTGAAATATTATTCCAATTTAAAATAGGAAATACCGAAAAGAAATAATCAGCAATCTGGAAAGTATACAGCTATAATGCAAATTCATAAACACATTTGCAGGAAAACATTACTGATTGGTTTGCAATTTTCAATGCATCAGTGCATACAATGCAAGTCATTTTTGCAAATATGACAAACCCTCCTCTATGTCAACCAGCTAGATAAAATTATCTCAGTGACAGATCAGTAGAAATGGGAACGACAACAATGCAGAACATCACAGAAAACCTACTGTTTACATTTGCACGCATAAAAACTGGATGCAAAAGATCAACGAATGTTGAAATTTCAGTGCACACAGATCATATGCACTACAAATTCTGATTCTTTATCGTATTTATTTTTCACAGATTTAGTTTTAGTCACTCCCCAACACTGTCGGTCCCACATGCATGTTTTTTCATTCACAGTCAGCAGCCCTAAATCACGTAGGAGTGACTTATTAGGCCCCAATTCCCACAACACACACACACACTTATGTCCTATTCATCTGTGTCCGACTGTCGTCAGGAGGGTTTTGTTGTAGTTGCAGAATGGAGACTGGTGTCATATTTCTCTGTGGCAGGACAGACCACAGCTGTGTGTGTGTGTGTGAGACAGGATAGCAAGGTCACAACAGTGTGTGTATGTGTAGGCTACAGTAATGCATATGTATTTTAATCAGCATTACTGCACCAGGCCACACACGAACACAAACTATATTTAGAGGGAAACACAGGCTGTCCATTATGTGTGTCAGTGTTTCCAGTAATCGGTCCACTCCTCCTGACTCAGGGATCTGAGCACAGCAGAATGAATTCATGCAGGACTCAAAGCAGCTTCAGGATCAATGCAGCTGCGCACGAGCGTCTCGTCTGCACCTCTGCGAAAAGCTAAAGGCTTTCAGACTTGTGTGACATATCATTATTGTACATAAATCAAGTTTGAGTACAACACAACCACAAGAATGACACGACGTCTGAGTAAACAGCCCAAAAACACCCACAAAAACAGCATGTCTGTGGCATGTCATCAAGGTTCAGGACATTTTCAGCTATTTCCTGCTTTGTTTTATTTAGTTATTCTCTAAACAGCACTGTGATACACAGATGTTTGGGTAAATCGCTGGAGATTTCCCAGCTGCTGGACTGCATCCTAAGGGACGTTCGCACTGACAGTCATCTGCAGTGATCAATCAGCCGAAAGCTGTTCATTTTCAATGAGAGTTGGAGATTTGAAGGGATTTTACGGAGTTGAATCATTTAGCTGATTTACTAATTCATTATATAGAATCTCTAAATGATTTGTTCATGAATCGAACTGATTCAGCTCAACTCACTGATTCGATCTGTTCACAGCGCTTAACATCCCACTGGAGATGAAGAGTATCAGTATTACTGAAGATTTTAGAAAACCTGAAATACTGTTATGATTTTTTTTATGGTGTTTTTGTCCTGTTTGAGCTTGAAAGCTCCAGTCTCACAAGCCTAAAGGACAAAATCACAATTCATTTGTTGAATAAGACAAAAGAAATGACTTTGAGAAGATTCAGTATCATGAAAATCATTGAGTTCCAGTATTTTTTAAAGACAACATACAACCAAAGAGACAAAAGCAGCAAGACAATGCAGACGACTTAGACTATTGTTATGATATTTTTATGGTGCTTTTTGTCCTTTTTGAATCTTAAAAGTGCGAGTCTCAATTTTAAGAGTGCAAAAGACTAACTAATGTATTATTTAAAATGTCTTTTTTTGTGTGTGTGTCATACGGGTTTGGAACCAATTGGGTGAACTGTACCTTTAAGTTGAGCACAATTGTTTATGCAAATGAGCAGTGATTTAATGCAAACATTTGATACATTGTTACATGCTCAAGTCTCATTTAAAATGAACAACTCCGGTTCGTATGTAGATGCAAATCAATTTCAGTGTGAACAATCTATATACTGAACAACACCAATAATTCTGAATGATCTATACAACTATTTTCCATAATTCAAGAGTAATGCAGAGGCTCTGTATGCGTTCTGAGGCAGTAACACATGTAGAAGAGCTCTAGTGCTGTTGTGTTTGCTCATGAGCGCAGCTGCTCCAGCATGTCCGCACCCGATTTAATAGTCAACACACCTGCATTAGAGCACTTCCTCCTTCAACAAACAACACATGCACAGCACACTCATTCACAGACAATAGAGTTAACTGGAAGAATGTGCATTTAAATTTACATGTGTGCATTTATCCAAAGCGGCTAACATTGCATGCAAGGTATGCATTTGCATGCAATGTAATCGACTTGCATAAGTTCATGACTTGCATAAGTTCATGCATTCCATGCGAATCAAAGCCATGGCATTTAAAAAAACAACATAAGATGAAAGAAGAGGAGGTTAGAGTTGCAGGGTTGCTGTTGCATAAAGATTTTCATTCAAAACAAAAGGCTGATGCAGACAAAAACAGAGCGCCATTATTCACGCAGCACCACACACACTTAACATGTTGTCCATGACCTTTACCTTCAACAGAGTGTGTGTGTGTGTGTGTCTCACTTTATAAAGGCAGGCGGCATGTCTCTCCTCATGATGGCATCCTCAGTTGTCTGAACCGTCTCTTTGCCCACCTGCGTTGAACACACACACAAAGCACACAATAAATACACCTATAAACCATTTAAAATAGAAAAGCACAAGAGCTTGGGAAGTTTAATTTCCTGAATATAGGACTTATTTCTTCTGTGCAGCACAAAAGGAGATATATTGCATAATTTCTAGAATGTTTTTTTTTTATAATAAATAAATAAGCAAACTGGTAAGCAAATAAATAATCAATTAAACTTGATAAGTTTGATTCACTTCAAAAAAGCAGTTCCAAATTTCTTCGATTCAGCTCAGATTCAATGATTCGTTTCCGTCATCACATCAGGTGTTCATAAAAGTAGCTGCATATATTAAAATATTTTAGATACCAAAAATAAATGTCTATTTATTAAAAATGAGTGGAAACCTCTGTGCTATATCAAACAGTTTGAGACCTCTTTACTACATTTTTAAATTTTTTAAATTTATATTGTCCACAATGCACACATTTGCAATGATCTTTATATAAAATGTACATTTATTGCAACAAAACTGTTGTGAATTTGTATCTTTAACGACACATCATCATATAAACAAGTCAATAATTACACTGATTTAAGTCTCTTAGAAAGTACAAAAGAACAGTTCTCGGTTCCTTAGTTGTGTGTTTGATGTGACCATAAAGACTGCTTCATTTCAATATTTCCACTTCTGTGAGTCAGTGTTTCATTCCAGATAATCACACACAGACACACACAGACACACACAGACACACACACACACACACACAGACACACAGACACACACACAGACACACACACAGACACACACACACACAGACACACACACACACACACACACACACACACAGACACACACAGACACACACAGACACACACACACACACACACACACAGACACACACACACACACACACACAGACAC